TAGCTATGTAAGACCCACAGTAAGTATTTTGGTGCTTCCGAAGCTAAAGAATTAAAATTATACATATCATTTTGAAAAGCAATTTTTGACAACCTTTTTAAAAACAGAAAAGCAGCTAGCCTAAGACAAACTCAGAATTTATGATCAATTCATGCAGATTGCAAGGTATAGGAAGTTCAATAAGAAATTATCTATCTTCCAGCCATACCACTAATCCTTCAGCTCTGTGAAAATTCCTTTCAATTTATCCAAATCCAAGATGACTCTGAATTTAAGACAACTCTCCAATAATAAGATTCTATATGTGGAAAACTGATAAACTTGTAAGTATTTTCCATGTATAGAATCTAACTGTTGGAAGGTCATCTTAAATTAGTCCTCCCACTACTATAGCAGGGAAAGCAGTAGCAGGGGGGCACCCCTGGTGGTATTCACCCCACCACTTGCCAACCCCTGGCGAGTGCCCACCCAGCACTAATCCTCCCTGTCCCTTTGCTACTTGGCTGCTCCATGCCTACACCCCTGATACCTCCCCACCCCTACTGCAGCCTCTGCTCTCACTCTAAAAAAGGATTCTGGTTTTATTCAAGATCCTCTAAGCAGGAGAATTTGCTGGGTTCCTTGCAACATTCATGACACAGAAGCCAAAATATCTGTACAAATAAAAAAAGAAGGGAGGCACTTACAGTGCATTAACTTGAAATGTGTTACCCGTTTCATATGTCCACTCTAACACGCTGTAAGCAGAAGCTAACCCATGGTAATTTAACAATGGTTTTATGTCATTAAGTTGCTTCATTTACCACATGATAAGAACACAGAACAGTTATACAAGGCACCCTAGTTTTCTCGGTTTAAAAATGACAAATTCTCTGATCAGAACCACCAAAATCCACATTCTTTGTGATTAAAATGAAACGCTATATATCTATATCTATATCCACACACACACACACACACGTATCAGTTGAACACAATGATTTATTGATATAGTTACAATTTTAAAGCCATCTGGAAGTCTACCAGTGCCTCAATCATTAGAATAAAATAAATTCTTAATGCCTATGAATTTTAGCGTTTGATTTCGACTTTTTATCATGAAAATATCAGAGGTCTTCCTGCCCCCTTTGCTCACCAGAACACAGGTCCAACTGTGGCTGCCCCCATCCTGCTGCTTTGGGGTGCTAAGCAGCCCCGATATGCTGGTGCCCTGTCCCTGCCCATACTGTTCCTCATCACTCCCAAACCACACCCCTCGCAGTCCTGCTGCTGCCCCTCACTCCTGACCCACTGCCCTGCCGGTGCCCTTCACTCTAAACCTGCAGCCCCTTGGTCCTGCTGGTGCCCCTCACTCTTGAACCACAGCCCCCTGCCCCCAGTATGAGGAAGGGAGTGGGT